CTATCCAAGTCTTGGATATGATCTTAAATGTCATGAGAGGGTCGATGGAGTGTAGAAACACTTTCTCTAACTTCTAACAACCTTGGGGCACTCCAACATGCTCAAGCAAGCGAGGCAACCTCATATATATATATATATATATACTCCCAAAGAGCTGCTGAAAAAAGTCAACCAGTTTTTCTGCATGTTGCCTCACATGATCCGTTGGGTGGTCCTGGATACAACATCGTATCATCTAGTGGGGTATATATATATTCCCAAGCTGACAGTTGAATCTTCACTCGCTGACATATATATTGGACCCTCTTCATCGGATGATCAATCGTCTTGTCCTTCGTTGCCCACATCATACGGCGAGGTATCCCCCCATTGGTATTGATGCGTTGTCATGACTTTGATCTCCATCGAATGATATGCTAGGTTGCTTCTATGCTACACCGTTGGTCTTGATGCTTTGCCATGACTTTGATCTTCGTGGAGAGAGAGGGATGGGTCGAGTGAGAGATGATGGCAGTTGAGAGGGGGGAGAGTTGGGTGACGGAGAGGGGGCCAGGGTTGAAGTTGGGGTTATCACTACTACTCATTAGCACCTTAGTCATTAGAGTTAGTTTAGCAGCTTAGTGAATATTTTCTTAATTTAAGAGCTGCTGTTGCAAAAATGCTAATTGTTACATCACCATTGCATGCATGTAGAGAACGTGTTGGTGGAGTTGGTAACCGCCGGAGAGTAGAAATATGAGGAGGTGATCGAGGAGTACGAGGAGAAGGTTCTCATATAGGAGGGAGCCCTGGAGCCACTAGTGACTGACTTTGCTGACACCCCACCTGCCCAAGACAAGCCCCGGTGTATAACCCTTATTTTGAATAATCACTGGATATATATATGTGATGTGCATTTACGTTACAGGCTTATTGTTGAAACTACATGCATAGATATACCTATCTATGAGTTCTACTAGCATAGGTTGAGTAGCTACTATGCTTAGGCTATCGGTAGCGTGAGTAACCTACCGTTACTCACAATAGGTGATTATTATTACTCTCATGACAAAATGGTAAAAGGAAATGGAGACCGGGCAGGGATATGGTACGGGTATTGGTGGGTGTAATAGGTTGTGTCCCACGGCCAACGGGGCATAGCTTGGTTACACTGTTTTCCCTATCCGTGTCGGTTAAGGACCATCCGTTGCAGTGGATTCTGGTCAGGTCACAGACTTATTATCCTGAGCACATACTTACTTATGGGAGCGAGAAGGCTCGTTGGTCTCTTGTCGTGGGTTCTGGCTCTTTCCGAACCGACTGATTGGAGGCGGGGATGGTGGAGGTTTAAGCACCACACTGAGTCCGGGACTCAGGAGTGGGGGCTTAGAGTCCAAGTTTGGACGGGGATTTAGACCCCTTGACATGAGAGTGGTGGGTTGGTCTTGCTTGTGCCTGGGGTACAAGCGGGGCATGTGTTTTGGGGTACCCAGCTGGGATACATTGGTTTGCAAATCGTCGTGTGATACGGTACGACTTGGCTACGATCGAGCACCGTAGTAAGAACGGAAAGATGAAAGGGAATGAATGAATCTGATTGCTCAACTCTTGCTTGAAAGTAGAAAAGATGCTTATATAGAATGGTTAGCTAATGAACTAATCATGACTGCTAATAAAACACATACATAAGGATTTACTACTAGTAATGGTTTTCGCTAACAAAAAGAAAACCCTGCAAACCATAAATCTTATCATATCCTTTAGAGTCGGGAAATTATTCCCACTAGTCGGGTAAGTCTTGCGAGTACATTGTATACTTAGGGTTTATTTACCCCTTTGCAGGTTCAGCTTGAGGAGTGACTGTTGTGTGGAGGATTCTTCTAGTCGGCATAGACGGATCCTTATATCTTATCGTTTGATGTTTATTTCAATTTCGCTATTTAAATTCCGCACTCTGAACTTGGTATTGTAATAATGTATTTTTGAGAACTATTGTTGTATGAAATGGACTAAGTGATGTAAACTCATTCTCATTATTGGATCCTGGGTGAAAAACGTGGATTGTCCGAGTTGTCCCTTAGAGTGTGCTCGACGGAACCGTCTGATGTAGCTTACTTTTGGGGTGCTTAGCGTCTGGTGGAAGACGAGCGCCTCCGGAAGCGTGCTATTTCGGGCGGTTCTGCCACACCCGCGAGGTCATCAACGGAGTCGAGCGCCATGCTCGAGCACAGCACGCCACCGCGGAGGGCCAGGTTGCGGGCCGCGCCCATGCTGGCGACGGCGAGGCCGAGATCCATCGAGGCGCCCTCGAGTGAGCGCTGCGCCGCCTCTGCGCGGGGCCCCTGGTGGCGGCGCCTGTTCTGCACGTCGGCGTCCACGGCCTCGAGCACCCCGAGGAGCTGCTCATGGATGTTGTGGCAGTGCATGGCCGCCATCACCACCCGCCGCTGGAACAGGGCCTTCCAAGTGGACTCCGGCGACGAATCTGTGGAGACGACCACCGGAGGCGGCGATCACGGCGGCAGCGGCGTACCCTCGAAGACCATCTGCGGCAGCCTGGCCCAAGCGAGCCTCCCATGTGGGTCTCCGTGGACAGCGGTGGCTATTGGGCCGACGTCCTCGCCAGTGCGCTGGCCCCTGGAGATGGCCGCCTCCCCGTCGCCTACCGTGAGATCACGCACCTCGTCTCGCTCCACACCGACACCTGCCATGTCTTCGTCAACTGCGCCGCGCGCCTCGGCCTCCAGCCCAACGACGACGAAGACAACGGCGGCGGTGGCGGAAGCGGTGGATGGACCTCCGGGAGGCGGCCGTCTGCCACGCCCACGACGCGCTTCTGGCGCTGAGCTCCGCCGCGGCGGCAGCCAGAGCGGCCGAGGACGCCGGACTCTGGCGCGAAGCTGCTCGACAGGGGGCGGAGCTTGGGCTCTAGTGTTCGCAGCCCGCTCGACAAGGGCGGAGCTTGGGCTCTGGCGTCCTAAGCCTGTCTCTTCTTCCAGTTCCGTTCTTATATGGTCCAACCAGACCAGGTTGGAAATGGACCCAAGTGTGGCTCAGGGGCACCGGATGTTCAAAACAAAATTTTCTCTCTCCTCAACCGGGTGAACCAGAGTATCTTCTGGCAATCTACTCAAAACGGGATGTCTATCATCAAACGACCATCGCTTTGAATGTCCGCTACACAATCGTAAAAAAAAAAAAAAATTCAAAATCCATCCCGGCGATCCGTTCACGGAGCTGGCGCCCGTGCAGTGCTCTGGGCTCTGGCTCGTCTGCTACGGTGGCATGCTGTGGCTGCAGCAGCCCTGCCCGTCAGTGCGCTGGCACTGTGACTGTGGACTCTGGTCGAGGGAGGGAGGGCATCTCGCCGCAGGCCGCGCAGCAGCGCCTGCGCCACGGCGCTGGACTGGCGGGGGAGGCCAGTGACATGACCGGCGTGAGAAAAATACGGCGTCACATGATTCCACAACAATGGCCGGCCAGTGGCAGCACGGGCAGGGCCGCAGGGAGGGAGTGCCAGTCGTCTCTCTCGGGTCAGCAGTCCTAGTTCTGGGTAGGGCAGGCCACAGCCACAGGAAGGGCGAGCCGCAGAGGATGAGGATGAGCCGTGAGGACGACGTGGGGCCCCAGGTTTCCGTGATCACGTGGTGGCAGCACACGCAGCACGTTGTCAGGCAGCAGTGCTCCGCCGCCGCGGCGTCCGCCTGGCTCCGTGCGCCGGCCTGACCGGGACCGGAACCGATGGGATGGGGACGGCCCCCGCCGCTCACGTGCATGCTGCCGCTGCGCTGCGAGCCCAGTGACCCACCAGTCCCAACGGCCCCGGCTCCGCACGCCCGTAACCGCGTTTGTCCCCTCCTGGCGTGGCGTCAGTCGTCACCCACCACTCTGACCCCACCCCCCAGCGTAGCGCGATTGGAGTGGCCCAGTGGGTCCCGCGCACGCTGAAGAGATACCAACAGCACCGCGCTGTTCCGCGACAAGGGCACAGTGCGCGTGCGTGCGTAGTACTACGGATCTACTTCTACGGCCCACCAGGCACCAGCCGAGCCCAAGACCCAGGCCCCCACAGCAGCGTACCAAGACCACTCTAGCAGCACTGCCGGGTTCAAGCTCTGTTGTCATTTGGTCGATTTTCACTTCTACTGCTAGTACAAAAAAAGTAGTATTACTAATAGTATTTTTTAGCAGCAAACACTCCTCTTTTTTTTTTTTTACACATGTTGTATTAGATGCACTTTTGCTAAGACACACGTACGTTCGTGCACTGAGTGCCGGAGTCAAGTTCAGAGATTGTTTTCGAATTTATAGAGCTTGCTTAAGTCATTTTTTTATATTTAACTGAATTTATAGAAAAGAACATAAATATTTATGACACAAAATGAGCCCGTTATAAAAAACTATTTTATATTGTATTTAATGTTATTAATTTAGTTTCATAAATTTTAGCGCTTTTTTCTATAAATTTGATAAAGCTTTAAAATATTTGACTTAAAGACAACTTTAGGAATTAATCTGTTTAGAGACAGAAGGGGTAGTTCAAACAGGCTACCGGTAAACTGGGACGACATTTATTTCATTTCTCGGTGATCACAGGTTAACTACGTAGTACACGCATGCACTAACTGCAAGAGTTATTTTATCCACTCCATCAAATACAGTAGGCTAACATATTTTTCTCTTTATAAGCAATAAATCAACGAACAATATTTTCTCTCACAACAAATCAAATAATAAGATTTTCGGTCCAAATTTATCGTACCAAACAAACAGGGCAATAATTCACCATGATCAATCACAAACCGGAGTATACACACACACGAGATTCGTAGTCTTGGGACGTCGTTATGTTGTCGCTTACGTACGTGCATATGTACACATACACCATGGCTGTATATACGTATCATCATCGTGCTGATAAAGTGCGTACGTACACGTACGTCGTCGTCGTCGTAGCCTGTACGTTTGTGGCACGTACGTACTCGCAGTGGCGGCCATTCTGCAGCTAGATAGCTAGATAGCTAGGACGCCGGCGATGTCCTTGGCTGGCGGAGGACGTGGCGGCGGCCGCCGGTGCCACCCTCGGGCTGGCAGGTGAAGAAGGCGGCAGCGACGGGGGCGCCCAGGCCGTGTTCGACGGCGAAGTTGCGGGTGCAGAAGTTGTGGCGGAGAAGCGGCGGCTGGTCGACGGAGCCGCGCGCCATCTGCTGGAAGAGCACGAACACCACGCGGTGGATCCCCGCCGGCGGCCGAGGGCTCTCGTAGCATATCACCTCGCGACCTGCATGCGTGCGCGTGTATGCAGCCAATTATTGGAAACGCAGATCCATGCATACGGAATCACCCATGCATGGATTTCTCCTTTTTTTTTTACCAGACTAGAATAATATTCCACGCGTTGTCGTGGAATTTTCTTAGAAATAAAAATATTACATGTATGAGCTCAACTTACGTTTGTTTACATCCATTCTTATCAAAACTAAGCAAGACGTACAATAAAAGGATCAATGAAAAACTAATAAAATTAGATCGAATTGTATAAGATGATAAAACGACAAAACAAATAGTAATACACGGATGCTTTCTATATCTCTTCTTATATATATCAAAAGTAGTAACTACGTTTAGTGGATAACTTATATTAAGTGGTCAAAATTTAGTGGGATAAGATGGCTGTTAATGAGAGATGTAGATAATTAGCAGTAGATGATGTATATGATTTACATATTATTAGATAAAACATGTAGTGAGGATTATAGAAATAGATTTGTTAATTAATTACTATGAAAAGAGAATTGCAGTTGAACTATATAATATAATATAACAAAAAAATAACAAAAAAAATACATTTAGTCCGAGTTCCTTTTGTTTGTGGCGGCGTCCATATATAGTGGGTTGGAGCTTCAATTTTTTTTTTGATTGAAGATATATCGGATGGACAGCGTATGTTCTTCGAAACATGTCTCCGTTTTTGAACTAACACTATGATGATCATAATTAATTGAACAAAGTAATACTCATCTTTTTAAAATATATATACTATATGATTCGTATCACATTATTTTAGTAAAAAGTTTGAGAACTCAACAGTCTAATATAATTTCTCCACAAACAAAAAATGATATTCACCCCTAAAAAAATGATATTCAAAGAAATCACATATAATAAATGTTTAATATTACAATTTTGCAAAGTGTTTGATTATGCATGTTTCACAAGTTCTAGAATTGATGTAAGAGGATCCAATGGGTATCCACTAACCTGTAGGATTTCAAAACAGTGAAGTATTAATTCCTACAAGAACATGTCCATCATCGTCCATAGTAGGTTAGAGGACACTAATTAGCTATTCACAGTGTTCACATGTTCATTTCATTAACTTCCTTATCAGCAAACTCATCATTCATGAATTTAATCGTGTTCTCTATATATATGCATCTTTTACAGGTCTGTACTGTAATGATGGTGTCTAATTTTTGTGATGTGTACTCTGTATGATACTTCTACATACATGTAATATAAAAAATTGAGGTATGAAGCACTAAAAAAGAAAGCTACTCAATAACTCAAACACCTTGCCACCAGTCAGATTATACTAGAACATGATGTTTGAATCAGTATGCAATGATCATAATACATGTATAAGTACGAACTTATACATGCATTGACCCGATGCAATTTGGAATAAGGCAGGGGCTTTGGAGCCTTCCTAGATTTAGAACGAAGCATGCCATCACTACTGGAGGCGCATGCTCTAGCCCTCGGCAAAGGCCCAGAAACCCTCGGCAAAGGCTTTGCCGAGGGCTGCCCTCGGCAAAAAACCCTCAGGGAATTTTTAGACGGCGAAGGGGTCTTTGCCGAGGGCCCTTTATCGGGCACTCGGCAAAGCCTTTGTCGAGGGTCAGGACGGCCCTCGGCAAAGAAAAGAAGCCGTTAGGCGCCGGCGCCGTTGGCAGTTTCTTTGCCGAGGGCCGACCCTCGGCAAAGAAATGGTTTTTTTTAATTTGTTTGCCGAGGACCGACCCTCGGCAAATAATTTTTTTTTTTTTTTTTAAAAAAACCTTTGCCGAGGGCCTCCTCCCTGGCCCTCGGCAAAGAAATTTTCAGGATTTTTTAAAAATTCTTTGCCGAGGGCCGGCCCTCGGCAAAGAAATGGTTTTTTTGAATTTTTTTAACCCTTTGCCGAGGGCCTGCTCCCTGGCCCTCGGCAAAGAAATTGTCAGGATTTTTTTCCAAAAAAATCTTTGCCGAGGGCTATTGCTTGGGCCCTCGGCAAAGAGGCAGAAATTTAATTTTTTTTTGTTTTTTGCATTCCATCGACACAAGCATTTCATATATATACATATATATATATCACACAGAACCCATTTTCTCACAATATATCACAACCATAATTGTGAACCACAAATCACAATATATTACAACGATAAGTCACATGTTCATCATCATTCACATGTTTATTACGACAAGTTAATGAAATCCAAGCACAAGTCACAACCATAAATCACAAATCACGCTAAAGTCCAACCACATCACCTAGCATGAGTCATCATCAAGCTAGCCTATGAGACGATGGTGAAAGAAAAAGCAGGATCACCCGGTGATGCACTAGCGGGTTGATTAGAACCCACGGACGGAAGCTACACAAAGGAGCAGAGATTGCATGTGTGAGTAATCCGGGAAAACAGTTTTGGAATTTAGAGATTGCATCTAGTATTGTAGGAATACAAAAAGATTAGACTCAATTGAAAATTTCGGCAGCACCTAGCCTGCACGGGGAGGTTTCCAAAACCTGCAAGAAACGACGGCACGAACGCCGACATCCACAAGGCACGAACGCCGACATACATGCAAAGCACAAGCGAAAGTGAACTTTCATACTTACAGGAGTAGCTGCAGGAGTAGGAGGTGGAGGAGCTGAAAACTGCACAGGTACACCCGATGCTTGCCCAAGACTTTGCATGATCACCATCATCTCCGCCATCTGCTTCTGCGCGGCCTCGAACGCGACCTTCTGGGCATGCAGCTGTGCGGTCAGCTCCGTGTTTTGCTCTTGACTTTGCCTTTTTGTTTCTTGCAGCTCGGCCTGCAATATTTCACTCCAATGTATTAGTAATGCAAATCTAATTTAGGTGTATAAATATCTACGTACGATGAGTAAAACAGGAATTACCTGGAGTGTTTGGACCTGCTGCAGTGCTGGAGAAGGCCGTGGACGTATGGGCTGGCTGGAGCTTGTGCTCCGTGCTCGGATAGCGTCGAGGAGGGAACAGTGGTGGAGTCGATGGCGCCGCCTCAAATCCACACCGCCGCCTGCTTCTTGCCTCCTCCGAGCCCTCATGATCGCCTCTCTGCATCAATGGGCTCAGTGCGCACATTGTAATCTTCCCCATAGATCTCCCTTACCGTTGACGTGTACTCTTAGACTTTAGTATACACGTTCGGGTCGGAGTACACCTAGGGCGGGGCAGCCGGGTCGAAGGAGACAGAGGATGACGCCCTGCCCATGTGGGACATAGCCCACGCAGAGAACTCCGAGACCTCCTCGCCCGGTGCGCAGCCTCCTGCGAGAAAGACGGGAAGATGGTGAGAAATCAAGCAGAATTGAGCGTCAAAATAAATGAAAGAAATCACTTACGTATGCTTGTTTGTATCCGGGGAGGCTACGGCTGCCTTGATGGTGAGTTGGACCTTGCCTCATCGACGACTGTTCCTCCGCCTCTCGTGTGCGTGTCAACAAAGTCCTGTGATAACCACTTGTCCACGATCATGGCCCAGCACTCGGGATACGATCGACACCACCAGGGAATCACCTACAAGTCATCAAGTATTTGACATATAAGAAGATGAAATTGATCCTACTTAATATCAAAACAAATCATTATGAATGTTATTCGCCTACCTCAAGGTACTGGTCCCGGGTCAGCGTAATCCATCTTGCTTGAGGCTTGGGGAGGGCTGCCTAAGTACCGACCTATAGTAGTCTATGTGGGCCTGGACGCGCCCATGGTGGTGTATCTCGGTGACGTACTTCCTACAAGCTGCGGCAGCCGCCCGATCCACCTGGGCCTTAAGTCCTTCTTTGGCCTTGAAATATTTCTGCATACAAAACCGATGTATCCATTCATTATTTCGATAAAATATTTAACCAATGAATGCGATGTATTAAGCAATGTTGTGTGAGAGAGACTTACCCAAAACTCCGCCAATACTCGCTCCTGCTTGTTGCGGTAAGTGTCATCCGTGACAGCGATACCGTCCCAGCTTGAGGTCGGCTCCGCACTACCGCTCTCTTGAGACAGTTGCACAATGCCGGGTACCATTTCCTACACAAAACACCAAGGATGCTCGCGGGGATGCGTGCTGGAGTACCCGACAAAACCAACCAGGCCCTGCACAAGTGATTAAGAAAATTTATCAGTTTCTCTTAAGATTTCCAACATATCTTATGAAGTAGCTGTAATAACATCCATAGTTACTTACCTCTTTGCCATAGGCCGAATCACTGAGCGGTTGTGAGGAAGCGGAACCGGAGGGAGGCTCGTGGGACCTTGCTCGTAGAGAGTCCGGGTAGCGGTACCCTCTCCCTCGCCCTCGAGCGCCTCGCCTCCCTCGCCCTCGAGCGCCTCATCTCCCTCGCCCGTCTGCTGACCCCTCTCATCCTCCGATGAGGACGAGGCCGTGGCCGTCACGTGCTCCTCCTCCAGCACCTCGTCACGTGTCGAGGGAGGAGACCGCTGCCTCCTACGGCGGCTGCCCCTGGTCCTCCTCTCGTCACCTCCTGCGGACGCTACCTCGGACGACGACCCCTCACCTCGAAGGAGAGGGCGGTCTCTCCCGTAAACCGAGGGCGTGTCACGGTGTGGACGTCTGCTCGCCATCTTTGTCCAATCACCTGCAATCACAAAGAATGAACAAGACTAATTAGTACATATATTAGAAATAGATTCAAAATATATAAACAAAACACAAATTAAAAAACCATAGTATTACATGTATTAGGAATAATCTTCATGATTGGGATCATAGGTCTCATCATCACTGTCAAAATTGTCCAAATGGGCAACACTATCCGAAGGTTCTATGTTGTCATCGTTGTCATTGCCTAGAAGTAATCGCTCAAGCATTGTTATGTCCTTGGCATTTACCACCACATCTCCATCGACCTTGTCATCAACCGTTTCGTTGTCTACTTCCATTTCGATTGCTTCGGGTAAGACTATCTCAAACGTGCCTGTAGCCCATCTTCTTGATAGAACTGACCATCATATGTGTTTGCGT